TTTTTTTTTGCGACCCCCCCCCCCCCCCCCCACACACACACACAAGACAAGGTGTAATTCAAACCCTGTTTGCACCCAAAAGCTTGCAATGAAAAGAAAATCTTATTACAAAAATTTAGTGGGTCTAATTAAAGGTATTAGTGGGTCTGATTAAAGGTACCACCAGCCCTAATTCGAACCCATGGCACATCTGCTGGCTCTTGCCCCCAGGGATGGGGTTGCATGCGGGTGAGGCCAATGAGTCCTAGGAAATCAGGGTTGGCAGGGACCTCAGGAGGTCATTGAGTCCAGCCCCCTGCTCAAAGCAGGGCTGTCCCCAGCTATATCGGCCCAGCCCAGGCTGTGTCTACCCAGGGCTTAAATACCTCCAAGGATGGAGATGGATGCTGGCAGGCTGGCTCTGTGCCCGCTGCGGGATGCTCTGTGGCACTGCTGAGGTTGTTGGGATGGGGTGAGCTGCGTGTGTGGCTGTGGGCAGATGAGTGCGTTCCCTTAAGCAGGTTTGAGTGGCTAAAGAGTTTTGGACAGAAGAGCCCCAAGAGTATCCAAGCACTGGGTTGGCACAAGGCAGATGAGCTGACAAAGGGGCCCAGTATGATCTGAGCATTGATTGAGTAGGGTTGACATGGGAACTGGGCCTAATTCCATTTGGAAAGGGAGTATGAGGACATAATGAGGGCATTTCTTTATGTTCCAGCACTTTTGGAAAAGGGGATTACTTCTGCGGTGCAGGACCAAGAACCGTACAGAAAAAGATTTTTTTTTTCATTGTCATTGTTTGTGGTACCTCACATCACATTCAAGTCCATCTTAATTGCAGTTAATGCATTGCAACCTGAAAAGAAAAAGTATTAAGTTTTTGTTGTTCATTCATACCTTGATGTTTCTCAAAGATGTACGCAGTGCTTTGGTCGTTTAAAAGTCGAGTTGACCTAGTACTGCCAGCCCCCAATTTGATAGCACCTAATGATTTCAGAGGATATTCATAGGGTAGCTAGCCCCTGCTGTGATTGGCCCAGTATGAAATAGATATAAATCACTGTTCTTGCATGGTTTGGTTTCATTTTTCATTTTTTTTTTCCCCCTCTCAGACTCAAATGACATTAAACATTTTTTACAGATTTATTAGTATTTATACAAAGAAAACTATGTATTTGCTTATGTTGGAATCCATTAATATCACCCAAAGCTGGCAGTGATGTATACCAGTAAAAAATGGCTCACTTTCTCATGGCTTGTTTTTAGCATCATGGGATCAGTCATTCCAGTAACATTGAATTCTTTAAAAATAACTCTCCTTTGTATGAGGATTTGGCTGGCTGTATGGTACACCAGGTACAGTACAGTGGAAGTATTTTTCCCCTTGGTTCTTATTGGTCCCCTTGCTTGTTACAATGCAGTTTTATTGTACTGTGATTTGTCATCTGCTGATTTACATAAGGGGGTCAGTTATAAAAGCACGACATGCACATACCCTCTTATTAGCTGCTGTGTTATGAAAGATTAACTTCATAATAAAGCGAGTTCCTCTTTATAAGGAAAATGGACCAAGTAAATTGAAATACAGACAGACTGTGACTAAAGAGTTAAAGTTCAAGCAACCTGAGACAGTATGGGGTTTTAACCTAAGCATAAATCTGCAGTGCTGTAACCCAGCTGGTTTCAATCAGACTTGTTATATTTTTTGGGGGGGACACTGTGCCCAGGCCAGTCCTTTAGTTCTAAGGTCCTGTTTATGGGAGGGTTAACTTCTATGAGAGAGGCTGGGACATAGCTCCTCCATAGAGGCACACCTTGCCGGAGTGAATCCATGTAGGATTTGTTGTTGTTTGACTGTCCATACTAAAATCAGAGTAAACTCTGGTACAAAACTCAAAACTGTATATAAGTGTGTGTGTGTGTGAGAGAGAGAGAGAGAGAGAGAGAGATATCTTTAGCTCTTGAATATGTAGTTTCCTAAAAAGTTATTTTTGTGTTTTTTGTTTGTTGTCTTTTTTTAACTCATGCAGAAACATTGGAATCTCCTGATGCCATTACCAAAATCCCTCCATACCAGTTGAGGTAAGAAAACCTAGATATATTGATTCATGTGTTGTAATGGCTATTAGCAAAGGCTAGAGAAAAGTCAGACATGTTCAGTGAGAAAGGAAGGCTTCTCTTGCACTGAATCCCTGTTGTTGGGTGCTTAGTGCCTCTGAGCACTAAGGAAGGCAGGGGAGATGTGCAGTGTGTTGGGGGAACTGACACCAGACTGTACGTGTTTTGTTTTGTTCTTCCCCACCCCCTTTCTGTCTTGACAAATGCATGGAAAGACATTATGTTTCATAAGCTGCTGCTGTGGGTGCAGCAGAGACTCTTTGTAACATTTTCTCTTCCCATGGGGAAATTCAGCCAAGCTCAGGCATAAAGAACCTGAGAGAGAGGCTGGAAGAGGGTACTGTCATCTTTCCAATCCCTTGGACTCCAGCCTCACCTGTAGCTGCTTCAGGTTTCCTTGAGTTATGTTGGCAGAAATGGTTTCAGTGCGTGGGAAATCATCCTAGAGCAAGGTACTTAGTGACGCACGGTAAGACCTATGGCACTCATGTTATTCTGGGTGCTGTCAGGGGGTCATCTGCACCAGGGGACTATCTCTTTGTTTGCCACATCCTAAGCAGAGCAAGCAATTTTCTTAGTGAGGAGAGCAGTGGATTTGGTTCCTTATATACAGATTGTGGCTGGGTTTAGTAAGTGTATTTAAAGAGGAAGAAGGTGGAACACCGAGTATCAGATTCTATCTCCCTGCTGGGACCAGCTACAGGGCGGTGGCAGTACTTGATCAACGTCAGCTACTAGGTGGGGAGGGGATGTACACATGTGCTCAAAAGAGAGAGGAATTGGTGTGGTATGGCTCTGTGGAACAATGAAAAGTGAGATGAAGGCAGGTGGAGCATCCCCACCCTTTGCATGTGTGTGTGAAATCCTCCTGTTTATTATATGTTGTTTTATTCTATAAAAAAGGAGGGTGGGGGTACACTGACCATTTCTGCCTTCATCTTGCCTCTCATTGTCTTGCAGAGCCGGATGAAACTGTGTTGGTTCATACTGGTCCCAAAATGTCTAGAGTTCTGATTTGATATCAGAAGTAGGGATGCTCTCCAGCTGGCTGTTAACATTGCCATTAATTTCCTTTGGCCTTCTAAGTATACCCAAACTCCTTTAGACTGATGCAAAAGATATGGCTGATTCCAGCAAAACAAAAGCAGTTCTGATGCTTTCCTGCTGCTCAGTCCTTTGCTCACTCTGTTGGGTTGGGCCTAGGTATCACAGACCATATGGCCTGTTAAATCCAAATGGCTCCCTGAAGCCCTTGCAATAAACAATTGGGTTCTGCTCTAGTTTTCCTATGATGTCTGTTTCCAAGGTGCTTCAAACAGATCAGCACCAGAATGGTCTTTTGCCCCAGTGGCCAGCTGTGTTCAGTATTGCTGGGAGAGAGAAGGAAGGAGAGTCTGGATGCCACTGTTTTACTGCAGTGCATCTTAGACTGAGAATAGCTTCAGAGTACATTTTTTACACCACTGACAGTTATAGAGTTAAGTCCTTAACCTTCCTTAAGTGTTCCATATTTACTTGCCTACAAGTAAAAATCGGGTGTTGGAAATTGGGGAATGCGTTTTTGTTTTGTTGGGGGTTTTTTAACAAGGAAATGCAGGGAGTAGAGGATGGCATGACTGTGCAGGAGCCTGACTGCTTGGCCCCTCTTCAAGCTGGCTGGGCAGCCAGTTGTGCCTGCCTAGTCAGCTGATGCACAGCTGGAAATTGTAGTAAACTCATCCCACCAGGCACAAGTAGAGGGACTGTGCTGTTCAGCTCCAGCTGAAGCTGATACCTAGCTGAGGTGCCAATCTTGCTGGAGCCCAACTGTCTGGCCCATTTATTCAATCTGTGTGTGGGACCTTAGCTGACTTGACAGGCACTACTAGCTGCTCATTCACTTCAGCATAAGAGCAGAGAAGAGGGGCTGGGCGGTTTGACTCAGCCAGGAGAACCTTCCTCAGCCTGCAGTTAAGGGTTTAGCAGAGGTACCATAAGTTTTTGCTTTCTCCTTCCTGCCCCGTACTGCATTTGCCTGTGTTTTCCTGCCAGAAATACCACGCTTAAACTAGTATTCTCAAGGAAAGACCTTTTTTTTTTTTCTCTCCTTTTGCCTTTCAAAAATCAGGTGTGCGTCTTACTTGAGGGCTTGTGTTATCTGAGAAAATATAGTCGACCTGCTCAGGGACTGCTATTCCAGCGTCTCACTTCCTAAAGAAATATGCAGCCCTGGCTTGTCTGCGGCCTTCCCCATGATGTCCTGTCATTGTGCCTCAGCATTGCCTTGAGGAGATCACAGTGAACCAAAGATGCAAACAAGGGCTTCAAATAAGAAGGCAGGATGGTTTAGGATTAAGGTGGTGGACTGGGATGGAAGTGATCTGAGTTCAGTTTCTAGCTATGCTATGGGCTTCCTGTACAACCTTTGGCAAATCCATTAACTTTTCTGTGCCTTGGTTTTTTCCTCATCTGTAAGAAAAAAGATGATGTTTCCCTATCTTACAGGCATGTTATGAAACTAATTTTTCATTCATATACTTTCTGAGAGAGGCCTTATAAATGCCTTGGTGGTATTAGGAAAAGATGCAGCTTTTCTTAATAGGTGCAACTATATCCAATAAAAAGGAGCCTAACATAACTTTTTACATAGCTTCTAGGATTCAGGTGGTGTTGCTCAGCAGCCAGCAGTTGATTGAAATGGCCTTTGGTTGCTACTAAGCTGAGTAAAATCCTAACTGTATGGTCATGATGAAAGCCTCTATGTCCTATTGCCAACACCTGAGTCACTCCAGCCTCTCTCTTCCCTGTATTATTTCAGTATTTGGAAGAAGTTGAAATATGCTTAACTAATGATACCTGCACTGAAATAGAAAATGGACATTCAGTGGGAAGGTATGGGCAGAATGGTGCAACCCTTCTGGGAGAGCTGGGTTTACGTGCTGAAAAACTGTAAATCAAAGCAGCAGACCAGAGCCCTAGATAGTGGTTGCTGTTCAGGCAACTCCTTTAAACAGGAAACTAAATTGGTTTGCTTAGATGAAAGCAGATGGAGAGTCCCTACCCTCTGCTTGTTTGGTTAAACTGTGTGGGTTTTTATTAGAGTGCTTTTTGGAGCTTTCCAGAGTACTTAAACAGAGTCTTACAGGCAGTTTCAAACAGAGTGGCTTGCCTAGACTCCTGTTAGTGACGCAGCACCCAGTACTTAACAGTTTTTGTGCTGGGGCTGTAAGCCGTATTGCAGAGGGGCAGGCAGGTGTCAGAACTCATCAGTTTAGCTTGATTTGCATCATTGTTGCTGTTTTCATTCTTCACTGGAAGTTAATGTGTGCAGACAAAAAGCAGGCCCCTTCAGTTCTGTGTGTGGTGTTGTGCAGAATTTTTACATGTAGAATTCTACCACGTTTGTGCCATTTAGTATTAGGAAATAGTGTTCATTCATTCATTTCTTTTGGCCCCTGCCCCCAGAGTTGCAAGAAGCACTTCCCACAATCCCCAGATCTGTTCCTTTCTTTTAACCAAGAGTGGCTTGATAAAGCACTTTAAGGCAGTGGTTTCTTTCCAGTTAGGCTCCCCATCTACAAGTGGGGTCATAGCCATTAGGAGTTGGGTGTTAATGCTGATAATTGGGATTAAATGCCTGGTCCTAGCGAGGCTCACAACAAGAAGAGAGGTCACAGCAAGAAAGAGTTTGGGAGTTACTGCTTTATGACTTGGCTCCTGTCAACATAACAGAAGCACTGCTGCAGACTTTGCTGTGAGCTCTTGTATGGAGCTTGTGTGTCTGCCTGAAAAATAACATGAAAGAAGGGTCACTGTAAAAGGAGGTGCATGGTCAGGTACTCAGCTGGTAAAAATTAATGGAGCTATATTGCTTTTTGAGGAATTAAGCTGGTTGGCACCAGCTGAGAATCTGTAGTTGTGGTCTTTATGGTGACAGGTATAAGACACATTAGGGTGTGAGTGATGTTTACACAATGAATAATAGTTTGCATTCATTGCTCAGGGAAGGATCTGAAAAGTTTTTTGCAACTCTTCTGCTTGCTACATATTGCTGTATCAAAATTACAGACTGTGCAAACCAACACAGGGAGAGGATAAGGCCCTAGTTTTCGCAAGTGTTCTTTAATGTTGGATGTTTTAGTATTTCTTTTTCGGAGATACCTAGGTTTTGGTATTTTTCCAAACATGTTAAATGTACATGGGTACTACTTATTTCACCTATATTTGCTGGGTTCAACACCAATGAAAAACAAGGCCCTTGAAGATCCTAATTTTCCATTTCCAAAAGGAGTAGATACTTTGTGGATTAGAATTGAGGAGTTCTTTTGGTCTACCCATGACCCGAGATGCTCTTTCTTCTAGTGAACCTTGTTAGAATATAAATCCTCAACACTAAGTAAAATTGGGTATAACCAGCATTAGCAATAAATTGGTCCTCAGATATGTGGCACAAATTTTAGCAACTGATGAGTTTGTTGTTCCTGTATGTAGATGAGTTTGTTTTACCTGTAGGTCAAAAGATTGGAAGGACACCCTACTGGACAACAGAGCCCAGCTGCCTTTTGTCAGTGGTGCTGTGATATATAATCCCATTCATAAATTTATCAAGTGTTTGTTAAACAAGTTGTTTCTCCCTCTTCTAGTTAAGTGTTTCTTTGCAGCTCTGTTGGAAATCTTTTAGTGTCCAACCTAAACATATTCATGGCCTGTTTATGCTCAGTTGATCTTTAACCAACCCTTTCCTTTAGCTTAAATAACTTTCCCTTGTGTGTATGTCCTGATGAGTTCCCATATTCCCTCTCAGGTCTTTATTTTGCTAGGCTGTGCAAATCAAGCTTTTGCGGTTTTCTTTCCTAAGATGGGCTCTCTATTCCTCTGCATGTCTTGATAACCTTTCTCTTCACCTGTTCCTATTTTTAATTTATCTCTCTTTTTCATGCCTCACCTGAATAGCACTGGTATTCCAGTGTTCCTTTGTAGATTGC